AACAAGGCTTGCCCTATTTCTTATCAGCTCAGTGCTCACCAAGCCCTGTTCTCACACAGCCTTTACACGGGTGGGTTCTTATTCCCATCACTGCTCAGAGGTTTATTCCACTGTCCACAATCCATTATCCAAAATTCTGGAGAACAAAAAGCTCTGGAAACTGGTGGTTTTCTGACAAGTTAGGCACTATTTGGTTACAAAACTTGACCTGATCTAATGAGGAACACTTTTCTTTCTTTGTTTTTCCTTTTTTGGAAACAGGATATTGCTCTGTTGCCCAGGTAGGAGTGTAGTGGCATGATCATGGGTTCACTGCAGCCTCGAACTCCCGGGCTCAAGCAATCCTGCCACCTCAGCGTCCGGAGTAGTTGGGATTACAGGCACGTGCCTAGACTAATTTTTTAAATTATCTGTAGAGACGATTATGTTCCCAAGATTGATCTCAAACTCCTGGGCTCAAGCAATCCTTCCACCTGAGCCTCTCCAGAGTGCTGGGATTACAGGCATGAGCCACCGCGCTTGGCTGAGGAACACTCTTCAATCCTTACTTAACCAGTTATTGTGAACTTTCATGCTTTTTCTTGAATAAATACTGTTTTTATTATTTTATTTTATTTTATTTTATTGAGACAGAGTTTCACTCTTGTTACCCAGGCTGGACTGCAATGGCGCGATATCGGCTCACCTCAACCTCCGCTTCTTGGGTTCAGGCAATTCTCCTGCCTCAGCCTTCTGAGTAGCTGGGATTACAGGCACGCGCCACCATGCCCGGCTAATTTTTTTTTTTTTTGTATTTTTAGTAGAGACGGGGTTTCACCATGTTGACCAGGATGGTCTCGATCTCTTGACCTCGTGATCCGCCCGCCTTGGCCTCCCAAAGTGCTGGGATTACAGGCGTGAGCCACCGCGCCCGGCTTTTTAAAATTTTTTTAACGCGTCAGCTCCAAACCCCGGCTGAGAGTATATGCACCGGAAGACTCCGAAATCAAAAATGTTCTGAATTCTGGCAACGTACTGCGCCCCAAGTCTTTCGGATTTAACTCTGCCTCGGCCGTTTTATTCAGTTAAGGAAACTGAGTCACTCCCTCCCAAAGGCAGATTCCCGTGGTTCTAAGTTGAAGCTGTCTCGGGTGCATTTGCATTCCAAAAAGGCTAAGGGTCCCGCTATTACTGCTCATGATACCTGGAGCTGCCGCGCATCCCGCCAGTGGGGCGCCCTGGGGGCTGTGCGTCAGGCTGGGAGTATCCTTGGCGGGCGGGGCGAGGGGGCTTCCGGGGCGGCAGCCACCTGGCCCGGCCCCCTCCGGCCCCGCCCTCGTCAGCTCTGCGCGGTGATTCACTCCCTCCTTCGCCCCGGGGCCCCCTTCCCGGCCAGACGGCGGGCAAGACGGCTGGGTGTGCGGCGTCCTCGAACCCACGAGCAAAAGAGAAGATCCTTCGAGGGCCCAGGGACTCCAGCCCATGCCATGGCGGATTCTGAGCGCCTCTCGGCCCCCGGCTGCTGGGCCGCCTGCACTAACTTCTCGCGCACCCGAAAGGGAATCCTCCTGTTTGCTGAGATTGTGAGCGTCCTGGGGCAGGCGCGTGGGCAAAAGCGGGATGGGGTGGCTGGACCACGCGGAACCGGATGGTCCGGGTGAGGCGGGCACATGGCCGGGGCGCTTGGCAGTAAGGTGCAGGTGGGTGGGTTCACGGTGGAGGCCCGAAACCCGGGGCGCACGGCGAGTCGGTGGGGTTTGGAAAAGAAGGTAGTTGAGATCTAGTGGCCCCGGGGTGAGGCAAGGAGCCTATAACTCATACGGAGGGCTGCGTAGGGGGAGCCTGTGTGGACTCATCAGTGGACGCATCGAAGGGGTCCTGGGGTGCTGGGAAGTGGGGGCCTCCTGCGGCAGGGCGTGGCGCGGCCTGGGCACCGGAGGGCGGGCTGGCAGCGCGCCCAGGGGCAGGGCCTGTTGGGGTGGGGCCCCCCGCGCTAGTCCCGCGGTGTAGAGCGCCCCACCCTTTGCCAGTTCTTCCTCGCCCTTCTGAGGCCGGGCGGGATGTCCTTAGCTTTTCGGGGTTTCCACCCTCCTCAAAGTGGGCGCTGCCTTTGAGTCACTTGTAAAAGGGGTGCGGTGCCTTTAACGGAGTCCCGCCTCTCTGGTGTCACTCTCACCACTTCCCAAAGGGGTTGCTGGGGGAACCGCGTGTCCCGCCTAGGTCAAGGCCACAAAGCCGGCGTCACCGGGGCTCGCAAAACACCTGGCAGCTCCACTCCCCTCAGGCTGCCCATATCCTAGAAGGAAAAGGGGGAGGGAACTGAGGCACCCAAGTCTACTCCTTACTTGCTGGGTGACCTGGGCAAGCCATTAAACCTCTCTGTGCCTCAGTTTTCTCATCTATCAATTAGAGTAATAATAGTACCCAGCATGAGATTGTGGTGATGATTAAGTGAATTTGGAACACAATGAGCACACAAAAAGTGTTTAGCTATTATTATATGTCATTTCCCCAGCCCTGGTAGGCATACGAATATGGGACCCCCAATTTAAACGGATCGCCTCAGCCCTTAGGTCTCCTTTCCCATGTTCCCTTTTCTAGATATTATGCCTGGTGATCCTGATCTGCTTCAGTGCCTCCACACCAGGCTACTCCTCCCTGTCCGTGGTTGAGATGATCCTTGCTGCTATTTTCTTTGTTGTCTACATGTGTGACCTGCACAGCAAGATACCATTCATCAACTGGCCCTGGAGTGTGAGAAGGGGTCAACAATGGCAAGGCCAGGGAGGGGTCTGGGCAATTAGGATTGTCTGGGGAACTCTGGAAGCTGACTCCCCTCTTCTCCTCCCTACACTTCACAGGATTTCTTCCGAACCCTCATAGCTGCGATCCTCTACCTGATCACCTCCATTGTTGTCCTCGTTGAGAGAGGAAACCACTCCAAAATCGTCGCAGGGGTAAAGGTCATGGGAGCAGCTCTGAAGCACAGAGGGAAGGGTTTGAGGAATCAGCCAGGGGCCATTTCTGTCCGTGCTTCTAGCAGAAAGCCTGTGATCCATAGCAAGTCACATTTGTCCTCAGGGCATGCATGTCCCAGGCCTTGGTTTTACCTCCCAAGGTCTTCATTTGCTGTGAAGGCGGTCCCTTGTCAGACACAAGGACCTTGGTGGGAAGTACAATCAGGTGACCCCTTTGTCAATGCACTAGACTACCATCTGCAAGAACTTTTTCCCAAATGTAGTAGGAATTGGGGCCGGGCAGGGTGGCTCATGCCTGTATTCCCAGCACTTTGGGAGGCTGAGGCCAAGGCAGGTGAATCATTGAGGTCAGGAGTTTGAGAACAGCCTGGCCAACATGGTGAAACCCAGTCTCTTCTAAAAATGCAAAAATTAGCTGGGCATGGTGGTGGGTGCCTGTAGTCCCAACTACTAAGGAGACTGAGGCAGGAGAATCACTTGAACCCAGGAGACAAAGGTTGCAGTGAGCTGACATCATGCCACTGTATTCCAGCCTGGGTGACAGTGCGACTGTTTCTCAAAAAAAAAAAAAAAGTAGTATAAATTGTGTGTGCTACGTGTAGGACCACAGTGTGACCTCCCTGTGTTGAAGCATAAGGAGGAGGGAGGGTGGGGTAAGATGCCTCCACTGGGGTTCTTTGGCTTCCCAACCTCGGGCTTCAGTCCCATCTGCATGGGGCAGGTGCTGGAGGTGGTGAATACAAGAAGATAAGAGACTGAGTAACCTGACAACCTAATCTAACCCCCCGACTCTGATCCTGTCCCCCAGGTACTGGGCCTAATCGCTACATGTCTCTTTGGCTATGATGCCTATGTTACCTTCCCCTTTCGGCAGCCAAGACATACAGCAGCCCCCACTGGTAAGTGTGTGTGTGTGTGTGTGTGTGTGTGTGTGTGTGTGTTGGTGGGGGGCAAGGGGGTTGCTGAGAGGGCAGAGGAGAGAAGGAAAGCAATCTCTTAAAGACATGAATGCCAACTCTGTCCAGTGTTGGTACTTATGGGCTTTTGTACCAATAGGTATCATAATCTTCAGTATTCTTGTGCATAAAATGTTCATGGACTTTGGATCTTGTTTTTAAAAATGGGCATATAGATTCAGCCAATGCTTTCTCTCTTTTCCTCACCTGCAGACCCCGCAGATGGCCCAGCGTAGGTGAACTCCCCTCATTTCTCTCTGAAGTCTGCAAATAACTCCTCCATTGAAATACTCCTCTCCATCCCCACAACATTCCCAGCCAACCAATTCCCACCCCCTCATTGAGGTAAAAGTGCCTTTATTGGGAGACTTTTGTCTTCTAGCCTGCCAATCAACCCTCCTGGGTGTGGCCACCGTTATGCTTGTGCCTAGGTCCTCCTTCGGCAGGATCCAATAGGAGATACCAGTTCTGCCTGAACCATAACCCCCACCTAAGTCACAAAATGAGGGAGGAGGGAGACTTCGATTTCAGAGTCCGGGCCCCAGGTTGTGACCCACTCCAAATAATCTCCTCGGTGTGTGTGGTGGTTCTGTAGAGGGATAAATAATAAACATATTGTTAAAATATATGATAATGAATAAAGTAATCCTTTCACCAAATGTGGGTAAATTTCAAGCATCAGGAGGGAGAAATGGAGCGGAGACAGCTGGAGCAAGGAGGCAAAGAAGCCAGGCCTGTTTTACAGCAAATATTAAATTACTTCAATAATACAAACGAGAAGCCTGGTGAGGTGGCTCATGCCTGTAATCCCAGTCCTGTGGGGGGCTGCAGCAGGAGGATTGCTTGAGCCCACGCGCTCTAGACCAGCCTGGGCAACATGGCGAAACCCCATCTCTACCAAAAAATTTAAAAATTAGCTGGCACACTGACACAAGCCTGGAGTCCCAGCTACTTGGCAGGCTGAGGTGGGAGGATCGCTTGAGTCCAAAACTTTGAGGCTGCAGTGAGCCTTGATCACACACTGCACTGCAGCCTGGACAGTAGAGCAGACCATGTCTCTAATACAGAAACAAAAACAGAAACAGACAAAGGAGGGAGGAAGAGGATTTATGACTTAGGTTGTGAGGGTGTGGTGTGGGGGTGGGGGGTATGGGCCTCATGGTCTACTCTGACTGGAGAATGGAGCCCCCTGCTGGACGTACTGCCTTCAAGCCAAGATACAGTTCTTGTCTCGGGCCTGTCTCGGACGAGAGTCCCTGGGGAGCAATGAAGATGGGGAGATGAAGGTCTCCGTTGCAGTGTCCTGAGCAGGAGTGGGCCTGCACAAATGTGGGGGCAGAGGGATGCGCTCTCCTAGGAAGAAGCCATCATCCTCTGAGGATTCGGAACTGGAACTGGAGGGCGAGCTGGAGCAAGATTCCGAATCTGACCCTGATCCCGCGTCACACTGATAGTGGCGACGTCTGCTTGGGTTTCGGTGGTGATGGTGACGGTGATTGTGACGGTGGCGGCGACGGCTGGGGGCCCTGGGTGGGGGACTGCGTGGCCTGCGGCGCTGGGCCGGGGGTGCACTCAGTGTCCGGCGCGGACCTCCTTCAGACACCAGAGGGTCGCGGAAGCTGACACGTGGGGTGCTCTGGCGACCGAAGGCACTATCATCGGGACGCGGGTTAGGCTGGCCGGGGGACTCTGGGGGCAGCTCGGGGGCACTGCGGAGCCCCAGCTCCGGCATGGAGTGGCGGTGGGGGGCCCCTCTCAGAAAGTGGGAGGGCTCCTCCGGACCTGCAGCTGTAAAGGGGGAGACAGAGCGACTTCTTGTATCTGCCCTCGCACTGGCGCCCTCCTATGGGGAGGCCTACAGAAGAGCCTTCTTTCCTCGACTAAGACTGGGAAAGTGGGAGCAGGGGTCGGAGAAGGGCAGGGAGGTGGGGAGCCTGGGAAGTGTGAGGCCTGGAGCAGGCTCTGGGTGGAGAGAGGGTTGGAAGGAAGAACAGGGAGAAAGACAGGACCGGTTGGGGGGCGTGGCCAGGGTACCCGGAGTGGCTTCGGATGGAAGGGGTGTGGCATAGGCTGGAGTATTTGGTTTGCGATAAATGGGGTGGGGCCTGGGAACAGAAGATGAAGTGCGACCAGCTGGAGAAGAGGAAGAGGAACTTGTGCTCAAGCAGAGACAAGTTGAGGTAGGGGACCGGTCATATATTGTCAGGGTGGAACCAGGGTTCTCAAGGCGGGTGTAGTTTGGGATGGAGACCAGGTCTGGACTAGTGTGGGGAAGGAGGATGGGCTGAGATGCGGGCGGGGCCCAGGGATACAGCAGGTGAAAGGGCCTTGGCGAGTCAAGGGGGAAGGGCCAGCGTTGAGGGAGGGGCAAGGACGTGGGGGTGACTGGGCTGTGGCTGGAGGGTTAGCTCACCTGGCTCTGACGCCGTGCAGGTGCCTTTGGTGGTGGTCTCCAACACCCCCTCTGCAGCAGAGAAAGAGGCGGTGGAGGCTGCAAGTGGGGCTGTGACAGTGCCGGCACTCCAGCTGCGGCGGCCTGGCCCTGGAGTGGTGGGCTCGGACCCAAGGCTGCAGGCTCGCGAGCAGAAGATTAGGCCTCGGCGTGGCAGGAATGGACGGCCCAGTAGGGCCCGCCCGCAGCGACTACAGCAGAAGCAGCGCTCTGAGGCATGCCAGTGCTGGCCCTCGTAAGCCATCTGGCCTTGGTCCAGGCCTGTGGGGACCAACAAGGGGGAAAAATGGAATCAGAATCCCCGGGCATACCCCTACCCCTTGTGAATGGGTCCCTTCTCAGGAAGAGGTGGGGAATCTGAGGCAAGGCACTCCTGGGCACCTTCCTCCTCCAAATGGGGCCCTTCTGGAGAAAGCAGGAAACGGGTTTTGGTTCTCTCCTGGAGACTGGCTGGTGAACCTCTCTCTCACTCCTTCCTTTCTTTCACAGGGTGCTCTCTCCCAGAGCGGCGTGGGCATTGGATTCTAAGATCCAGGCCAGGCTTAGACATTAAGGAGAGTGGAAGGCTGGGCCCTAAGAGGAGGCCTGGCTGGTGGGGGCAGGGCTTGGAAGGTGGGGTGTGGCCCTCATGAGAAAGGAGTGGGTCTCACAGGGTAGGGTGAGCTAGAAGCTAGGCCTGACCTAGGCTGATGCAGGAGAGTGGACGAGAACAGGGCATAGCTTGGGGTGGTGGAGGCTAGCCTTAGGAGGAGCCCTGGGGCAGGAATTAGAGCACCCTCTGGAGGTGGGTCTAGACGTGTGGTGGTAGCCCAGCATTGTGTGGGTGGGATTTAGAAAGCATGGCATAGTGGGGACATTGGGAGTGGGACTTGCAATCAAGCATACAGGCCTACAGTGTTGGGGCTGGACAAAGCGCAGAGCACAGTGCAGGGTGGGACCTGGTGCATGGTCCAGCCCCCCAGGGTCTAGTGGGTGTTCTTCTGTGTGCGGAGATGATAGGTGGTAGAAAAGAAAGACACAAGACACAGAGATAAGAGAAGAGTTCAGCTGGGCCGGGGGGACCACTGCTATCAAGGGGCGGAGTCCAGCAGTGGCCCTCCCACCCCCCCAGGCCCAACTGAATTCTTCTCTTATCTCTGTGTCTTATGTCTTTCTTTTCTACCATCTATCATCTCCGCACATAAAAGAACACCCACTAGACCCTGTGAGGCTGGACCCTGCAGCCTGGACAGGAGGTGTCCTGTTGGGGTGGAGCTGTGGCCCAGTTGTCCATCCATCCCTCTGTCCATTCCCACCGCATTCACCCACCAATGTGCTCCCCACAGCCATCACAGTACTCCGCATGGCGGGCCTCATAGCAGGTGCAACAGTGGGGGCGGCTCTGACGCATTACATAGCGCTGCCCTCCTAGCGAAGCTTCACACTCGAAGCAGCAGAAGTGATCCATATGCCAGTGGCGGCCCTCAGCTTCCGTGCACTCAGGGGAAAAGATGATCTGGAGGGCACAGGCCATCTGTGGCTGTCAGATGAGCCTGCCCCTGGCCCTACCCATCCTCCACTCCCACCCCTGGGCAGGGAGGCCCAAACCTCATCACAGGCTTGGCAGCGTGGACGCAGGCATTCGGCATGGTGACGCCCGCAATAGACCTTTCCAGCATGGTAGAAGTAGATGAGGTCAACCAGAAGCTCCCGGCACGTGGTGCACAAAAAGCACTGTGGGTGCCAGCAGGCACCCAGGCCCGCACGGCTGGCAAACACTGCGATGTCCCCACCTCCAATCTGCTTCCCGCACTGCCAGGAGACAAGCACCAAGATGGTTACCATCACTGTCACCAAGATGGTCAGATGGATGGGGTCAACCAAAGTGTGTTACACTTGGGCCTTTCCCCTGGCAAACCTTTGTGACTGGCCCCACCCATGGGGTAACTTTGAGACAGGCCCTGCCTACACCAGGGATGGGGTTAGGAGGTACCTTAGAGACTGAGCCTGCTCATGGTGGAAGCCACAGAGACAGGCCCTACCCATGGTGGGTGGCCTTACAGACAAGCCTCCCTCCTCAGGGGTGGGGAAGACAGACAGGCCAGGCCTAGTGGGGGAAACCACAGAGATAGTCACCACCCACTGGGACCTTAGCAATAGATCTCACCTAACAGGAGTATCTAAGGATAGGCCTTGCCCATCACTGGGCTCTGCAGACAGGCCCTGCCACTGTGGGTCAGCTCTTGAGGACAAGTTCTGACCACAGGAGGACCAAAGAGACAGCCCATGCCCCATGTTCACTGCACAGAAGGGGAGAAAACCACACACGACAGTGGGATCGATGGGACAGGTCCCTGTTCACTAGGGGTTGCCTTAGAGACAGTCCCTGCCCAACAGTGAGATGTGAGGAAGAGACCCCACCCAGGAGAAGGTACCCCGCCCAGCAGAAGGGACCCTAGAGACAGCCCACTGGGGCTTCAGTGGCAGGCCTCATCTTCCCACTGCCTGGAAGATGTGCCCTGCTCCTCAGGGCTTGGAGCAGAGGCAATGCTCACTCGCTGAGGCCCTCCATGGCTCACCTCCTCACAGATGGCCCCAGTGATAGTCACCGGGAAGATGCGCACAATGCCACGCCCCAGATTCTCCCGCTTCCGCTGCTGGCTGAAGGCTCTGAGCTCTTTCTTCTCCTCCTCTTCCAATGCGGTACAGTACTGTGCCTGGGAGGAGAGAGAAGGCATCTCCCAGGCTCCTCCCTTAATATCTGTCCCCACCCCTCTTCCAGACTTCATCGGTGCCCTGAAGTTTACTTCTAGGTCTTTCTATAGATGGTGCCTCCTGCCTGAAGTACCCACCTCTTCCTCCAAGCCCCAGCTGTGGTTTTGTCAAGGAATGTCCCATGATGGTCCCTGCCTGTCTGGACCACTCACCTCCGATCAGCTCGCCTTTCCTCTTCTGACCCTGCCCAGCATTGGCCCAGGCTGTGCCCCATGCCTGGCATGCCCTTCCTGTCTTCTCTCTCCTCACCTCACTGTCGTGTGGGGGCAGCTGGTGCAGCAGCTGCTTGATCCTGTATTTCTCCCCAGGACTGTTGACGTAGGGGACCTTGTCCTCTGGGAGGCAGCTGAAAAATTGATACACCTGGGAGGACATAGGAGTGGGAGAAAACAGCTCAAATGAGAGGTGAGTTGGGATGCAGTGAGATGTCAGGTCCCCATTTCTCTGAGAAAATGAAAGGCACCTGGAGGGACCTTCTCTGGACTCCCCTACCTCCCCTTCCTAAAGGCAGATAATTTCCCTCAGCTCCCAAACATGCTGAGAGTTCCTGCATGTCTTGACCTCACTTCCTCCTCCAGCTGCTGATCCACTTTTTTTTTTGAGATGGAGTCTCGCTCTGTTGCCCAAGCTGGAGGGCAATGGCACGATCTCGGTTCACTGCAACCTCTGCCTCCCGGGTTCAAGTGATTCTCCTGCCTCAGCCTCCAGAATAGCTGGGATTACAGTCATGCCACCATGCCCAGCTAATTTTTTAATTTTTAGTAGAGACAGAGTTTTACCATGTTGGCCAGGCTGGTCTTCAACTCCTGACCTCAAGTGATCCATCCACCTTGGCCTCCCAAAGTATTGGGATTACAGGCATGAACCACAGGACCCGGCCTGCTGATCCACTTTTCTTTTTTCCTTTGTGGGAAAATTCCTCCAAAAGTTATGAGCACTTGTATTCACGCCACTTCCTCTCCTTCCAATCTCTCTTGAGCCTATTGAAGGCAGGCTTCCGCTCTTATCCCTCTTCCAAAGCTGTCAAGGTCATCTACGACATCCGCATTGTTAAAATCATTGTTCAGGTCTCAACTTCATCAGACTTAAATGACTGCAGCAATGCACCAAGCTGACCACTCCTTCTTCCTGGAAACGCTTTCTTCCCTTGGCTTCCAGGACAACACACAGTCCAGGTTTTCCTTCTCCCTCATTGGCTGCTCCTTCTCTGTCTCTGTTTTGGCTCCTCCTCAACTAGCTGACCCCTAAATGTGGGAGGATCCTAGGACTCACCTCTTGGTCCTCTTGCCTCTGTCTACATTCAGTCTCTTGGGAATTACATTCAACCTCATGGCTGTAAATATCATCTACTTGGCTAATGTGTCACCTCCAGCCTGTGACACGTTATGGCAAACACATACCTCCAGCCCTGTGACTTCTTTCTTGAGTTCTAGGTAATGTGGCTATTTAGATGTCTAACAGGCATCTCAAACTCCAAATGGCCAGAACCAATGTCATGCTCTTACCTCTCAAACTCACTCCTGTCTTGGGCTCTCCCACACCAGTTAATCCACTCATCCTCGGGGGCATCTTTCAATTCTCTCTTTCCCACTCCCACAACAAAATCCTTTCAGCTCTACTTCCAAAATATAGGCTGGGTGTAATCCCAGTACTTTAGGAGTCCTAGAGGGGAGGATCACTTGAGCCCCGGAGTCCAAGACCAGCCTGGGCAACATGGCAAAACTCCGTCTCTACAAAAAATACAAAAATTAGCTGGGTGTGGTGCTGCATGCCTGTAGTCCTAGCTACTCAGGAGGTTGATGTGGGAGGCTCACTTGTGCCCAGGAAGTTGAGCCTACAGTGAGCTGTGATCGTGCCACTGCACTCCAGCCTGGGAGACAGAGTGAGACCCTGTCTCTCCTCTCCCCCCCATATATATAATATAATATATATATATGTATATATATTATATATGTATGTATATTTATTGTTATTATTCTTTTTTTGAGACAGAGTTTTGCTCTTCTTGCCCAGGCTGGAGTGCAATGCCACGATCTCGGCTCACTGCAACCTCCACCTCCCAGGTTCAAGCACTTCTCTTGCTTCAGCCTCCCGAGTAGCTAGGATTACAGGCATGCACCACCATGCCCAGGTAATTGTTTTGTATTTTTAGTAGAGATGGGGTTTCTCCATGTTGGTCAGGCTGGTCTGGAACTCCCGACCTCAGGTGATCTGCCCGCCTCGGCCTCCCAAAGTGTTGGAATTACAGGCATGAGCCATTGTGTCTGGCCTTTTTTTTTTTCTTTTTTGAGACAGGGTCTCACTCTGTCACCCAGGCTGAGGGCAGTAGCAGGATCGAAGCTCACCACAACCTCCACTTCCTGAGTTCAAGCAATTCTCCTGCCTCAGCCTCCTGAGTAGCTAGGATTACAGGCATACACTGCCATACCTGGCTCCTTTTTGTACTTTTAGTAGGGATGGTATTTTGCCATGTCTTAAGTAATTTGCCCACCTCAGTTTCCCAAAGTGCTGGGGTTACAGGTGTGAGCCACCATGCCCCTGGGCAGATATGTTATTTTGTGTTCTTTTCCCAGAAAGTGTTTTGCTCACTGCTGTGTCCTCAGGGCCTAGAACAGTGTCTCACATGCAGTAGGTGTCCCATAACTATGTGTTGAGTGACTCAATGAAGTCATGTGGTGAATGAAGTGCTGGAAGGGTAGGATAGGGAGTGGGGCCAGGCATGGTAGCTTGCTCCTGTAATCCAAACATTTTGGGAGGCTGAGGCAAGAGGATCACTTGAGCCAGGAGTTCCAGAGCAGCCTGGGCAACATAGGGAGACCCTGTCTCTACAAAAGCTTAAAAAAGTTAGCCAGGCATGGTGGCATGTGCCTGCAGTCCCAGCTATGCGGGAGGCTGTGGTGGGCAACAGAGTGAGACTGTCTCAAAAACAAACAAAAAGAATAGGATTGGGGTGAACAGGCCCTGAGGAACTGGTCCCTCAATCATCCAAGGTGTGGGGGGGCTGACTGCTCCTCCATCACAGAAGGGCCAGAAGGATCCTCATCTGACTGCACACTCTAGCATAGCTCCAGAAATAGGTTCCCACATGAGTGTGTGTGTGTGAGCATGAGTGTGCACCCACTGGACAGCAAGAGTGGAGGGCTGGCCTCTGGTCACCTGCTCCGGCTTAAGGCCTGGGGGCACCCAGGCATACTCCTCCGATGCACAGCCTGAGTCATCGTCGGAGATGGAATGGCGCTGGAAGTCCGAGATTAGCCGACACATGATTCGTTCCAGGTCCACAGGCACTGAGTGCACTGCGTGCTCCTCCCGTGGGCATTTGCAATGCTGGCAGATCTTTCTGAGGGGCCGAGGATGGAGGTCAATTACTAAGGGGTTGCCCACCCGAACCCCCCGGCAGCCCAGGTGGGGACATGCAGATTATCACCTGGGGGCGGGGCTGCAGGAGGTGGGCCTATGAACCAGGGTATGGCTGGACTGTGAGCCAGAGGACAGGTCGCAGGGAGTGGGACGCTTTGTGCGGGAACTTTCACTAGATACAGGCATCTAGCCTGTGATGAGGCTCTGAACTTGTGGGCTCTGAGCCTGTGGGTAGGGTCTGAGTCTGGGGACTGTAGGCTCTGTCTGTTGGGTGCAGGGCTCCAGTAGGAGGATAGGACGCTGGGCCTGGGAGGTCTGGGTCTAAGAGGGGTGCTGGAGGCCAGTGGGCGGTGCTCAGAGCTAGGGACGAAGAATCTCTCTAGGGTTGCGACTCAGGGGCTATGGAGAACTCTTCTGGGGGCGGGGCTGTGTGGTGGGTGGAGCTTTCCTGGGAACTCTACTTTTCGGAATGAGTCAGGGGGCGGGGCTCTGAATCTGAGCCTGAGGCTCTTTTCCCAACTGAGATTCCCTCTGTAGGCGGAGCTCAAGCTCAGGGGCGTGGGATAAACCTCCCGGATTCCCCCCCGCGAAGGCGGAGCTCCGACAAAGGCGAGGCCCTTTGGGGGCGTCACTTACCTCCAGCCGTGCAGCAGAAAGCCGGGGCACTGCTCCCTGCAGGAGTTGCAGGGCTGGCCCCGGTCTGGGTCCTCTGCCTCTGGAGGCTGCAGTGAGCGGGGGTAGACCCAGTGCCCGGTGAGGCGCGGGAGCAGGGAAGAAGTCAACGGCCGCCCCTCCACTTCATTGCCCACGACCGCACGCTGGGGCCTGTCTCAATTGGGCAGCGCTGGGCAGGCTGGGACAGCGCCCGGAGTGCGGGGGAGCGGGACACAACCGAGGCAGAGGCGGGGCAGTTGAAGCTACCTCTTTATATGTCCCCTTTTCGGGGAATTCCACTGCCTAGACTGGCCTCGGACCCCACCCCCCCGTCTGCCCCTAGCCTCAGACACCTCCCACCAGCCTTAGATCCTTCCAGGGCTCAATCACCTCCCCCAGAATTCAGAGTACTCTCCCCACCAGAGCACAGAGCCCCTACTCTGGGCATCCTCTCCCAGGCCTCATCTCGGTTCCCTCTTCACCTACGCTGCCAGCAGCACTCCAGCTCCACAGGGTAGGGGATGAGACCCCATCCTTCTTCGAGATCCCCACACGAACCCTGCCCCTCTCTTCAGAAGCTCAGGAGCTCCTCCCCCAAACCCTGGCCTCAAGCCCTGATATCTAAGGAACTGGGGACCCTCCCCCAGGATCTCAGGAGGCCCTGCTTCATTAAGAAACCCCCACCCCAAGAAATTTTGGCCTTTACCACTCCTATCCTAGGGCTATTTCGTCCTTCTCCAGACCACCAAACCCAGATCCCACATTCCCAGGTCGGGGACCCACTCCAAAGGAAGTGAAAGACCCTCCTATCTAAAAAGTCAAAAACTCCCTTCCTCAGGCAGAAGCCTGGAAGCCTCGTTCCCCCAAATCCCGGTCTCTTGGCCCTCAGCATTCTGGCATTCCAAGAGTGTAGGACTCCATCCCTCCATCCACATTCCTCCAAGGTATTGTGTCCTTTGTTTTAGAAGCCCAGGAGGTCTGCCAGGCACGGTGGCTCACACCTATAATCCCAGCACTTTGGGAGGCCGAGGCAGGCGGATCACCTTACGTCAGGAGTTCGAGACCAGCCTGGTCAACATGGTGAAATCCTGTCTCTACTAAAAATACAAAAATTAGCTGGGTGTGGTGGTGGGCACCTATAATCTCAGCTACATGGCAGGCTGAGGCAGAAGAATTGGTTGAACCCAGGAGGTGGAGGTTGCAGTGAGTGGAGATCACACCCACTGCACTCCGGCCTGGGTGACAGAGCAAGCTTCCGTCAAAAAAAAAAAAAAAAAAAAGAAAAAGAAAAAGAAAAAAGAAGCTCAGGAGGTTCCTGCTCAACCTAAGGCCCCATGTGGCCCTCAGAAGTCCCTCCACAATTCGCAAGAAAGGGGTGCCCCCCAGGTCCCAGGAGTGCTGATGAAGGTGTGCGTAGAGGTGATTAGGGGGCTTGGGCCACCAGATCTACATCCTTCCTTCATCCATTCGCCTCCAGCAGCCCCAACCCCAGGTCTGGGAATGTTGAGGATGGGATTTCCGGACCCTCTGTGGGGCGCCTGTTCGCTATGCCTATCCCTTGCCCCCTCGCCCGGGCCTCAGTTTACCCCCAACCCCCACTGCTGCCCTGATTCACGCTCACCGCACGTCCCGAGCGGCGCCTCCGGGACCCACGAGAGAACATGGCGCGCCCGGGCAGGGTCAAGCCAGGCCGGGTCTGGCAAATGTAATCCTCGAGACCGTCAGGCCACCGCGCGTCGGGCCTGGGAGCTCGGTTCCGTAAATCTGACACCCGCGTGGGAGGAGCGCGCCCCACAGGGCCCACCCCCGGCCTTGTGGTCTCTCCGCGGCCTTGGCGCCCCCTGCCTAGAGAGAGGTGAGCTGCACGCAGCCCGGGGCGCCCCGCGGGAAAGGACCCTGACTTCCCGCTCTGAGCTGGAGCGGGGCGTCACAAGGCACACCCCCCAGAACCCCTGTGTGCCACGTGACCTCTTACGGGACCTGGAGCTTGAGAGCTCTGTAGTGGAGGAGGGGGAGACTCGGAGGTGGCCGACAGGACTTGGGGGGGGGGCGCGCTAGGGTGCTGTGTTGACGTTTTGTGTCGATTTATTTTGGATGCTTATTTGGGAGAGGGGTTAAAGACACCTCTTGGCTCCTCCCCGCCGGTGAGGTCCGGATGAATGCTGTAACAATGGTCGCCAACCTCACCCGCAGCCCCAGGTGGTGCTCCCTGGGAACCTGGGAATCTGGCCCTAGTCACCAGAAAGGTAGATCTTATACGCACTCCTCCCTTCTCATTCCCCTCTCAGAGCCAGACCAGCTTCCAAATCCCTCCTCCCCTCTCTCTCCTCATCCTTATAAGCCTAGCTGTCCAGCCCCCCAAGTCCTGAGAAGTAGATCTTAAAGCCTTCCTTCCCCCGCCCCCATTTTTCTCTCTCCAGTTCCAGGTCAGCTTCCCCAGCTCAGTTCCAGGGCTGGGAGCCTCTCCTATGCGTTCTCAGGCTTAACTGTGCCTCAGGGCTGGGAAGAGGGAGGTCCCATGCCCTCAATCAGAACTCGGGCGCCCTAGCCAGGGTATCTAATTAGGCACGGAGGCGACAGCGGCCATCGTGGGCGCCAGGGACCTTTTCCCGCCCCCATTACACACGTCCCTGTCACTTCCCGTGGAGTGGAGGGGTAAAAGAGAATAACTAATGAACTAAGGAGTCAACCCGGTGCCCCACCCCCTGGCCTTGCCTAACCGGTCTCCCAATTCTCCAGCCTGGGCGGAGGCAGGGAAAGGAGAAACAACAGGGTCCTAAGAATAGGGGGGACAGGCAATGTGAGGTTTCCTCCTTTCGGACCACTTGGGGATTTGAGGAGAGGGCTCCACAGGGGCTGAGAAGGGGCTTGGCTAAGGAACCAGAATTAGAACCAAATCCTAGAACGACAGGGCATTCGGTGGCCAGTAGTGGGAGGGCAAGCAGGGCTACTCAGAGTGACAGAGTGATCGGCTGGAGAGGCTTCCCAGAGGATGCCCCTCTGCCTAACACTTTTGAAGAGGCCTGAAATGGCGCAGCAACCTAAACTTCGGTCGGTAGGTCCGGGGTGATCTTCTTCTCACCACCTCTCCTTTCTCCCCTGGCCGACCCCCTCCCTGGCACCCGAAAAAGACACACTGAGAAATCAGAGCTGGGTGGACTAGGTGGTTAAGGAGTTTATTTGGGAGAGGAGAATCATATTTGTTCTTCCTTGGGGAGGGGGGATCTTCAAACAATACCGAAGTGCTCCGGAAAGGGTAGGGGTCTGGAGGGGAGAGGGAGGGGCCACAGCCAGACAAAATGGCAACACACGATCACAGGCACTACTGACATCACAGACACAGCAAAGGGTGCAGGATAGGGGCTCCAGACCGGGCCTCCAACCACCCCAGGATGCGTGGAGGTGTGGAGGGAGGGAGGGGCAGGGGAAGGGGGAAGAGGGGCGGGCCAGCCCCACAGACCCGTTGGTTCTGTCCTCTGATTATCTGGCTGTTTCATCACGGGAGTGGGGAAGGGTGGTGGGGTGCTTCTCTCTGGATCCCATGCCTCACCCTACAAGCCATATCACTCGGCTCTTCTCAGGCCATCTCGGTCCCAAGCTGTAGCCAGAGCCATTCTCCCCAACCCCTAACAAAACCCACCTGGAAGCTCCTATCCAAGCCCCCCTCCACTGTCCAGACCTGGCCACTGTACAACATTTTCTTCACTGCACCATGGGGAGGGGCTGCCCTTTCTGAAACCACCATGCAAGCCCCACTCTAAGCCCTGTCTGGAACCCTGTCGAGGATCTCATCCCAAACGGCTCATTCCTGAATCCCACTTCTTGCTTTGCTCAAGACCTGTCCCCTTTAGAATCAAGCTCAGTCTCCCAAATGTTCCAAGCCACACCCTTTCCATAGGCTCTGGTCCCAATCCAAGACTCACCTACTCACTCTGGAGTCCACCATTCTGCCTCGCTTAAAGCCCTGCCACTTTTAGAACCCTGCCCTCAGCATCCTTCCAAGCCCCACCCCAGAATACTCCAGCGCACTCCTCTCCTTAAGACTCCAGATCCACTATATCTGGAACCTAACCCCGCTGCTGACTCCTCCACTCCACAGCTCCTCTCCAAGACCACCTTGGGTCCTAAACTGCCCTCTCTACCCCAAGCCCCCCCAATCTCTGCCTTTCTCTCACCCTGGAGTGGATTTCCCTAATGGCCTCTGTTCAGGCAGGCGTTGCTGAAGGAACCAAGGCCAGAGTTGGGAGGAGGGGAGGGACAGAGAGGAGAGTCTGAAGCCAAGCCCACCCTCCCCACAAAGCCAAGGTCTGTCCCCTCCCTGTTCACCTTTCAGATCCCCCTAACCTCAGGGGACAGGGAGGGTAAACAGAGAGGGGCCAAGGGATGCAGGGAAAGGGACAGGGGTAAGAGAGAGGTCCACTCAAGACTGGGCACCTAGTGCATGAGGGGAGGGGAGTGAGGGCAGGGCTCAGACAGATAAATAGATATTTATATAATATATATATATATATAAACAGCAAAGACAGTTAGGGTCTCCTGGCTTGAGGGGTGGAGACCTAGGGTGTACGGGTGGGAAGGGGGCAGGCCTTCTCCTGAGCTCTTGCCCCCCCATGGGGTCCTCCCGGGCTGCACTGACCTGTAGAAACAAAAGGAGAAAGGAGAGGGGGTCCGACATGGGTGGTGCCCTCAGATAGGGGTTGGGCTGCTATGCCTTTATCCTGGCTCTATGTATTTTTTTTTTCACTTATAGTCCTGGAGCCAGCTTCATCCTAGCTACCTCTACCAAGAAGATATACCTGACCTTGCCCGCACTGGGTTAGGTACCAAAGTGATTACAGTTTCCCTCCCCGCAACCAAAAAAATAGTCTCTTAACTGGTACTGTTCTGGCCACTTGTGATAAACTATATAGAGCAAAACAAAGATCCCTGTCTTTGTGGAGGTTATATTGTAGCAGGGGGAGATAGACTTCACACAGCCAACATGATGCATGAGTGGATTATCTTGTATAACATATGCGTGACAGTAAGTGAAATGGAAAAGAAAGTGAGCTGGGCACGGTGGCTCATGCTTATAGTCTCAGCTACTTGGAAGGCTGAGGAGGGAGGATCGCCTGAGCCCAGAAGTTCAAGCCTAGCACTCCCAAAGTGCTAGGATTACAGATGTGGGCTACCACTTCTGGCCTGTGACAGGGCAGAGTTCTGACACAGGAGGACTGTGGCCTAATTTAGGATTTAACAGAATCCTTCCGGATGCTGTGAATAGAACAGAATGGAAATGGAGGTGGAGACCTGAGAAGAGGCCCAGGAGAGATGACAATGAGAAATGGGAAGATGACAGATACATTTTGAAGGTAGGGCCAACAGGATTTGTTGAAAAATTAGATGTGGGATGCCCTTTCCATCCTGGCTAACCCAGTGCCAGAAGCTACCTCCATCCAAGTATTGCCACCTTCTTGCCTTCCCCCACCTCATGCCACCCCCTAACCTTTACCTCCTGCCTTTCCTACCCTATATCTTCCCTCCTATCTGAGGGAAATCTCACTTCTCTCTTTCTCTCTTCTTTTTGAGACAGAGTCTCACTCTGTTGTCCAGACTGGAGTGCAATGGCACAATCTCGGCTGACTGCAACCTCCACCTCCCAGATTCAAGCAATTCTCCTGCCTCAGTCTCCAGAGTACTTGAGACTACAGACGTGTGCCACCACACCTGGTTAATTTTTAGATTTTTAGTAGAGACGGGGTTTCTCTGTGTTGGCCACGCTGCTCTCAAACTCCTGACCTCAGGTGAACTGCATGCCTTGGACTCCCAAAGTGGTGGGATTACAAGCATGACCCACTGCACTCTGCTGCCTCTCTTTCTTTGTTTTTTTTTTTTTTTTTTTTTTTTTTTTTTTTTTTTGAGACAGGGTCTTGCTCTGTCGCCCAGGCTGGAGTGCAGTGGCAGGATCATAGCTCATGGCAGCCTCAACCTCCTGGGCTCAGATGATCCTCCCACTTTAGCCTCCCGAGTAGTTGGGACCACAGATACATGCCACCACGCTCGGCTAATTTTTGTATTTTTTGCAGAGGTGGGGTTTCATCATGTTGCCCAGGCTGGTCTCGAACTCCTGGCCTCAAGCAATCCACCCGCCTCGATCTCCCAAAGTGCTGGGAATACAGGCGTCAGCCACCGAACTGGACCCTCACTTCTCTATTAAGGCCTAGCAAGCCTTTCCAGGACCCCACCCCACCCCTCTTCCTCCTTTGAAATTCCACACTACTTCCCTCTCCTCGAGTGTTGGGGAGAGGTGGCAGATCTATCCCCTTCTCCCAGATTGGTGAGCTCGTCTGACTTTCAAGATCCACGCCCATTTACCCTCGCCATCTATTTTGGCCTTATCACCTATTGGGTTTATCAGTCACTTCTAAGACACACCTCCTTGTCACTTCTGTGGCTCTTGCGCACCGCTGATTCGTCACTGCGCAAGTCCCTGCTATTCCCTCCCTTTATCGTTTGCTCTGCTTCTCTCCCCGCGCCTTTCCTCGGAGTTGCACTTCTACCTCCCTCCCATTGGCTCTTCATTCTGTTCATCTTGAAGCACCATTCTTCTTTTCTCCACTCATTGGCTAATTTTTCCGCTCTTAGCCGGTAGCTCTGCCTCTTGATTGGCTCCTTCAAACTTCAGTCCTTACTTGCCCCAGTAAGCACCTTACGTACTCTCTACCACTGACTCGTATTGGCTCACTGACCCGCTCGTCTCCTTTCTTGTACCCTCCTTGGCCGCACCGCTCGCCAGTCACTCACCAGACTACATTTGATTGGAGAAGGAGGTGGGCGCACCCTGCGGGCCGTAGCCTTGTTGCCCATAGTCGCCCTGAGGCCCGTAGCCACCGCCACCGCTGCCGGCTGGTTGCCCGTAGTCGGGCTGGTAGCCGCCCTGGGGCCCGTAGGAATCCTGGGGCCCATACCCGCCGGGGCCCTGCCCGTAGCCCGCATCGCCGTAGGCGTCCCCGGGTGCTGGTTGTTTCTCCGGGGCGCCGGGAGGCGCGCGCAGGAACGGCGCTGCCCAGCCTGTTTCCTTAAACACGAACCACAGGTTGCCGACCCAGAGCACCAGGTTCAGGAAGCCGAACACCTGCAGGGAGACAAGGCTCGGCTGTGGTCCCCTGCCCATTGCCTTGGCGGCCCTGCGTGCAGTAATCAGCATGCGGGGAATGAATGCGTAGGCTCCGCAGGGTAGGGGTTTCCGAAACCCAGACCCTCTCTGAGTCCCAGCGCGAGAACGTCGATGTGCAGAAAAATCACCTCTGGTGGGGAAGGCGTGTTAGAAGGATTTGGAGTCCTGGGAAATGCTGCTATCTATCAGTATTACATATACAATTATTTACTTATTTGCACATATACACGTTTATGCATGTATAAAATGTAAGTTAAAATTTGTAATATAGTAAAATGTAAGGATACAAACTTTTTTTTTTTGGAGACGGAATCTTGCTCTCTTGCCAGGCTGGAGCGCAGTGGTGCCATCTCGGCTCACTGCAACCTCGGCCTCCTGGGCTCAAGCGATTCTTCCACCTCAGCCTCCCGAGTAGCTGGGACTACAGGCACGTGCCACCCCGCCTGGTTAATTTTTGTTTTTTTAGTAGAGACAGGGTTTCAGGGTTTCACCATGTTGGCCAGGATGGTCTTGATCTCTTGACCTCGTGATCCGCCCACCTCGGCCTCCCAAAGTGCTGGGATTACAGGCGTGAGCCACGGCGCCCGGCCACAAATTTACTAAATATACATATATCACTAACATGCATCTAAATACATAAATGTAGATACAGATATATGTATAGGTGCACATGTATAAAATATAAATATATGGAACTTACATAAAGTTTTTTTTTTTGAGATGGAGTTTCGCTTTTGTTGCCCAGGCTGGAGTGAAATGGTGCGATTTCGGCTCACCGCAACCTCCTAGGTTCAAGCTATTCTCCTGCCTCAGCCTCCCGTGTAGCTGGGATTACCGGCATGTGCCACCATGCCCGGCTAATTTTGTATTTTTAGTAGAGACGGGGTTTCTTAATGTTGGTCTCGAACTACCGACCTCAGGTGATCAGCCTGCCTCGGCTTCCCAAAGTGCTGGGATTACAGGTGAGAGCAACCGCACCCGGCCACATAAAGTCATTTTAAGACATAAAACACTTTATGTACCTTTCCCTATATGCTATGCTCTTCTAAGAGCTTTACATGTTATTAATTCACTTAAAATTCAGTTTTAGACAGGAAATAATATCTCATTTTATAGTTCAGGAAACTGAGGTGTTAGAGGCAAAGTTACCTGAAGTCTCACATCCAGCAAATGACAAGAAAGAAAAGTTGTAATCTGGCCAGGTGCGGTGGCTCACGCCTGTAATCCCAGCCCTTTGGGAGGCTGAGGCAGGCAGATCATGAGGTCAAGAAATCAAGACCATCCTGGCCAACATGGTGAAACCCCGTCTCTACTAAAATTACAAAAATTAGCTGGGTGTGGTGGCGTGCGCCTGTAATCCCAGTTACTCGGGAGGCTGAAGCAGGAGAATCGCTTGAACCCCGGAGTCGGAGGTTTCAGTGAGTGGAGATTGCACCACTGTACTCCAGCCTGGTGACAGAGTGAGACTCCATTCCCCCCGCCAAAAAGAAAAGTTGTAATCTTAGCATCTTAGTATCTGTAACCCTTGTATATGATTTTACCTTGTGCCAGGCTCTTTTCTGAGCACTCTGTATTATTAGTTCACTAAATACTCAACTTTGGAGCAGGACCTATTATTAGTCTTCGATTATACATGTTAAACTGAACCCTGAGAGACTGTGACTAGTTTCAGGTTTGGGAGCTTGCAAGAGTAGAGCTGGGAAGTGAGCTCAGACAGTCTGACTCCAGCCAGTAGGGGGCATCCAAGTGGGGAAACATTTCAAGTTTTTCCTTCATTTTACACATGAGGAAACTCAGGTCCCAAGAGGGTGCTGAGTTGCCAGAAATTCCACATGACTAGGCTGGGTCTGGGATCCAGGTCTTTTAAACCTAATCTGGACAGAAACTCTCATGTTCCCCCTTTCGGGGCAGTCTGTGGTGTCACAGTGATTGCAATTGGTAGCTCGTCCTTCAATGCTGCTGTTGGCATGCCTTCTCCAGGGACAACCCTTGGATCTCCCCTGACTCTCCTCTTATTCTCCCACTCCACCACTCCCCATGCTGGACTGGACTATTTTCCAGTGTCCCTCCTCCAGCCGGCACCCAAGGCTTACCACTGAGGTGTTGAGTCCCGAGGTCACAGGATCTCTCAGCTCCTTGCATGTGTTCCCTGTCTGGCGGCAGACAGGCATCTCCTTGATAATGTTCTCTGGGTCTGTGGCCATCTTCACGTCTGACAGCCCCTTGGCCCATGCTGATGAGCTAACTAGCCACATGAAGGCGAAGACAGCCGTGGCCAGAAAGTCCTAAGGCAGGCAGGGGTGAGGAAGACGACACTGTGAGTGGACTGCTTCACACTAGGCCCTGGGGCCTCCTCAGATCACAGGCTTTCTTGGTGGGGGTGGTCCCCCAGAAGAGGCCTGTCTCTCCCCTGCCTTTTCAGCTCTCAAGCCCACAACACTTTCACCTGAAGGTGGCCCTCCCAGCTTGGGCTTGTGTGTGTACATGACACAGAGGATGTGGGAGTGTGATTGTGTTATGTGGCTGTGGGTGTCGGTGGGAGGCAGACTCTGTGGGATGATTTCCGAATCTGTGGAAAGTAATGTGTCTTTCCACTTTTGTCTGCATGTGGGAATTTTTGTCATTTTGTGTCTAGGCTGAGGGTGTGTGAGTACAGCGGTGTAGGAATCAATGTGTCTCTGTGGCATGACGACATGCATGACTGTCACAGTGAACCTCTGTGGGCCCCTTCCTTTGATCTAGGCTGTGTGGTCGTGTGAGAGCAGGAAGGTTCTCAGGTGTGGGCCTGTCTGGGATTCTGCATGGGCTGTATGTCTCCATGACTCTATGACTATGCGTCCCTGATGCTTGGTGTGGACTCATAGCAGCGGCAGCTATATGTGTGGCTGTTATGGTGGCTCTTTGCATGTGGAACTGCCTGGGATTTGGTGTGGACTGTGAGCATGGCTGTTTCCCTGAGGTCCCGTGTCCCCATGGTCCCTACATGCAAGTGGCTGTGGGGACTCACCATCATGGGGCCTTTGTTGTTCTCTCGGTACTTGTTCTGCAGGAAGATGTAGGTGGCCAGAGCCCCCATGGAGTAGAGGAAGGCAAACACGGCCACGGTGACAAAGAATTCGGCTGACGAGGAGTAGTCCCCAACTAAGAAGACCTTGGTGGTGCCCCCTCGGCAGGTGGGTGCATCAAAGTACACTTGGTGCAGCCTGTAGACAGAGGTGGGCAGGTGTGGCCCAGCCCCTAAGAACCCCCTCAACCCTCCAGCCCAGTCATGGGTCCCCCTGATTCTGACAAGGCCCCAGGAGGTGGAAATAACCATTCATTGAGCACCTACTATGTACCAGTCACATTTCATTAATTGCTCAAAACATCCTGGTGAGATAGGTGTTATTCGTCCCTCACTCCAACCCAAGCACTCTGGCCTCTAGATTATTTCTAGAACTTTCCAGGCATTCCCCCTGCCCCAGGATCTTTGTTTGCACTGGCTGTTCCCTTTACCAGGAATGCTTTTCCCTAGATAGCTTCGGGTCTTTCTCACTCATCTCCTTGAAGCTTTGCTCAACTGTCACCTTCTCAGTGAGACCTTCCTTGATCTCCCTACTTAAAATTAAATGGAACCATTCTCTTAACCGGCACTCCTTAGGCTGCTTCCTTCCTTGTACCACCTCTAGTAGTGGTCTCCTCTCTGACATATCATGTATTTTATTTTATTTTTATTTATTCATTTTTTGAGATAGTGTCTCACTCTGTCACCCAGGCTGGAGTGCAATGGCTCAATCTTGGCTCATTGTAACCTCTGCCTCCCAGGTTCAAGTGATTCTCCTGCTTCAGCCTCCCAAGTAGCTGGAATTACAGGTGTGCAACCACCACGCCTGGCTAATTTTTGTAGTTTTTAGTAGAGACGGGGTTTCACCATCTAGTCAGGCTGGTCTTGAACTCCCGACCTCAGGATCCACCTGCCTCAGCCTCCCAAAGTGTTGGGATTATAGGCATGAGCCACCACACCCGGCCTGTATTTTTTTTTTTATCTTGATTTTGACTGTAACTACAAGAGGGCAGGGCTTTTTCCTCTGTTTTCACCGCCGTATCTCCGTGACCTGGAACAGTGCTGGCACCTAGCAGGTGCTCAAGAAATGTTTATCAAATGAAATGTACAGAGGCAGAAACAGAGGCTCAGGGAAGTGCATTAACTTGCCTAAAGTCACACAGCTGGCAAGGGAATGTAGAGTTGGGATCTGAACCTTATTTTTTACCTACCTCATGTTGACTCTTCTCCCCCACCCCAGTTCAGGTCCCCGAGAGAAAAAAATGTGTGAGTAGCAGAGGATAGCCCAGTGACTAGACAACAGGAAAAGACAGACAGAAAGGAGGGTAAAGGGATCTTGGAACAGAGTGTGTGTATGTGAGGGAAGAGGGGAGGTGTCCTGGGAGTAAGGCCTTTCCTGTGGTGTGATGGAGGAGAGGTGGGGGCTGTGGAAAGAAAATGTCTGTGGGGAGAAGTACTGGAGTACGGTCTCAGATTGGAGGCCAGGATCCTGAGACTGAGCAAATGGTGCCAATGCTCTTGTGTAGCAAAGGCCCTGATGGAAGAGGCTTGCACTTATTAATCACCTACTAAGCACTTTACATAATTGTCTCATTTAATGACAGCTTTCAGCAGTTCTCTAAAGCGGGCATTATTATTTTTTTTCTTTTTTAGTTTCCTTCCAGTACATGTTCTCATCTAAAAAGGAGGCATTATTATACCCTTTTTACAGATGAATCAACAGGGGCTTAGCAAGGTTGTTACTTGCCCAAGGTTGTACAGCTCCTAAGTGATGGAGCTAGGAGTCGCATCTGGATTTGAGTTTCTGTTTCTAGTGGTCTGGGTCAGGAGAGGGGGCCCCTGAGAAGGAATGAGAGGTCTTTGGGTATCAGGGCAGTCTGGGGGGATTTGCTCAGGGGGAAGGGCAAATACTTTTTCTGGGGGACCTGTGGGTAAGAGCCTTAGAACCCAAAGTTCTAGACATAGGAGGCATGGGGAGGGACAGGGGATGGTTGTGGTCTTGTGGATCCCCAAAGGGCCAGCTTTAAGCAGTGTCCCATGCTGCCAGCTCCCCCTCCTTCCCCAAACTCTCTTCTCCCTTGCCTCTATGAACTCTTGGATACCTGGCTGCCCCTCTGCCTCTCAGGTCACACTTTCCTGGCACCTCCTCTCTTTTCCATCATTGCTCAGGGCCTGTGCTAGGTTTTCTTCTATTTTCACTCTTCCCCCCACTGGGTGATCTCTTGAACCTACATTTACCCTCAGTGCTCAGAACCCCCCAGTTTCCAATTCAATCCCTGTCCTCTTTCCTGAGTCCCTTAAATTTATTTTACTTATGGAACAAACACTGATGGAGCACTTATTGTGTGCCAGGCACTGTGCCAATCACCTGATGAGGATTAACTCATTGAACGCTAACCACAACCCTGTGAGGTAGGTATCATTAGTATTCCCTTTTACAGATGAGGAAATTGAGACCCAGAGTAATTATGTAATTTGGCCAAAGAGTGAGAGAGTCTCAGAAACCCGTACTGGGATTGTATCTATGGGTCTCTGTCGTCCCACCCTGCAGGAGGTAAATATCATTGTGAGGGTAGCACCCATGCCAGCCGTGCTCATTCTTGTGCACCTAGCACCCAGTGTAGTGCCTGGCACACAGTGTGAGCTCAATAAATGTCAAAATTGTTTAATTGGGTTTATTTTTTCCCTATATGTAAGCAGTGCCCCTCATTATTCTATTCTCTACCATAAAACCCTACACAAGGATCCCCTCCTTGAGTTTCTCTCAGTCTGCAATTATCCTCTTTGTTAATTTATTTGTTATAATGTAGGTTCCATGAAGGTCGGGAGTTGGGTCTGTTTTAGTGACTATCATGTTCCCAGCACTTTGACTAGTACCTGATATACAATAAGTTCTCAAAAATGTGTATAGAATGAATGAATGGGGATTAAATAATAATATGGGCTTGCATTAATTGAGCACCTACTGGGTTAAGGTACGTATATACACCTGTCTTTTACTTTTGTATCTTGTTTATTGCCTGTCCCTTACCCCTTACCCCTTCGGGCTGGAACAGAGCCCGAAGGCCACAGCCTATGTCTGCCTTGCTCACCACATAGTCCTAGAGTCCAGAGCAGTGCCAGGTACAAGGCAGGTGCTCAGTGATCCGAGGGGATGTGGCCTCTTGAGGTGGGAGCTGGGCAGGAGCTACTGGGGGTGGAGGGAGTATTGGCCAGTTCCACCCTGCCCCTTCCTCTCCCAGGTTTGTTGGGTTCCCAGGGTGGGAGCACACCTGAAGGGGTACTCGAACTCGACCTCGATGCTGAGGTCACTCTCGGTCTTGTTGGCACAATCCACGCTCAGCTGGAGCTCCCCACTGTAGCTGCCGCATGTGGCAAAGGCGAAGATGGCGAAGACCTTGGGCAGCAGGGATGGGGATGGCCACAGTGAGCCTGTGTGCATGTGGGAGGGAGGTGCCCTCCTCTGGACAGATCGGGGGCCCAGCACAGGCAGCAGCAGATGGAGCAGTCCCCACCCCCACCCCCTAATCAGGGCTCATCGGGACCAAGGACAAGCTGATTACAAGGGTATGGCTGTCTCTTCTTGTTTCTCTCTCTGCGTCTCTCTCTGTCTCTGCCTCTCCATTCTGACCTCCCTCCTCTGTGTTTGTCTCTGTTGTTCTCTGTGCATCTCACTGTGTCTCTGTTTCTCTCGGTATCTCTGTTTCTCTATGTGTCTTTGTCTTTCTCAGATGTCTCTTTGTCTCTCTGTCTCTGATCCTTTCTGCCTCTGCCTATCCGATCTCTCAGTGTCTCTTTCTGTCTCTTTTTTTCTCTGTCCGTCTGTGTAAGTGTAGGCCTGTATGTCTGTGTCTTTCTGTTTCTTGGTCTGTTGGTCTCTCTCTCTCTCTGTCCTGTCTCTCACTCAGTCTCAGGATGGCTCTCTCTCTGTCTCCTTCTTGCTTCTCTCAGTGTGTTGGTTTCTCTTTTTTCTGAGTGTCTCTTTCTCTCTGTGACTCTCTCTCCCTCACCCTGTTTTCCTGCCTCTCTTTGCGTCTGTTTCTCTTTGCATCTCTGTTCTCTGTATCTCCCTTTGTTTCTGTTTGTCTCTTCTCTCTTATCTCTGTATCTCTACTCATCTCTGTATCTCTTTTTTTCTCAGTGTTTTCATCTCTCTCTCCCTCATTCCCTGTCTCTCATTCTCTCTGTCACCTTAACTGTCTCTGAGTTTCTTTGGCTTTGCATCTCTCACCCAGCATCTGCTACAGGCTCCACCTCCCCCACCCCTCCCTCACTTCAGGAGAGGAGGTAGGACGTCACAATCTCCCACTTCACGACGGGGGTACCCTCAGCCCTATGTGACGTCACAGCTCATCTGTTTTCTGGCCTCAAACCCCTGAAACCTCACCATGGGGCCCAATTTCCCCATCCCCTATAACCCCCACACTCATCCCTGTCTACCCGCCCCTACTCCACCCCTGCTCTTCTGGACCCCAGGACCTCCCTCTCTCCCTGCACTCTCCCCCAACAGCCTGGACCACACTCACCCATTGCAGCACCTTCACAAAGCCGAGGGGCTCCTTGACCACCCGGAACTGACCCCCAGCCACCAGCTGAGGAGAGAAACAATGGGGGAAAGGGTGGGGTTGTTGGAGGTAGAGAGGGAGGTGAGGTGCAAGGCTGCCAGTCAATGACCCCTGAGGATGGAGCTTGTGACCTCGGGGAGGGAGTGAGAAGGAGAAAGTGACACCTTGGGGAAGGTGTGAGTCCCAGGGTCTCTGAGAGAAGACCCCCGGGGTCCAAGGACTGACGGGGAGGTCTGAAGAGATGGCGAGTCAGATGGCAGAGGAGGTGGGGGTGAGGAAGATGGGGATGAGGTCAGGACTAGTTACAGAGAGGGAGCAGGTCTGAAATGTAAAAGCGAGTCAGATGGGGAAGGGGTTCGGGTGGAGAGTGGGGATGGAGTTGGGTACATTTGGGTGGGGGGTCGTTATGGCAAAGGTGAGTCATAACAGGGCAGGAGTCCCTTCAGCTGGGGTGGGGGAAGGGGCTGCAGCGGTAAAGGTGTGTCAGATAGTGGTGGTGGAGGTCTGAAATGATGGGGATGGGGAATGGTCGGGACTGGTCGGGGGTGAATTTCTGAGGTGGCCAAGGAGAGAGAGATGGCGGAGAGGGTCTGGACTGATTAAGGTGGGGGAGGGCTGGGACATGGCTTCAGTAGCTATGTGTTGGGGGTGAGGAGACTGGGGATTTTGGAGGGAGCAAAACCGGATTGTCCCTTAGGTCTGCTCTGGGGGAAGAAGTGGTCGCCTATGGGGGTACGGTCTGTTTGGGAAGGGCGGGTGCCAGCCCTCTCCCCCACCCCCCGCCCCCACACCTTCTGTCGCTCTATTTCCTAGCTTATCTGCAGCCCCCCCCCAACTTCCTTCCACTCTCCCCTCCCCTTGTCCCTTACCCTCACTCCAGCCCCCAAGCCCCTCTTCCTCCCCTCGCAGTCGCCAGTAATGAGCTGGGCTGGTGGGGGGGGGGGGCTGCTGCGGCAGTGAGGATGGCCCTCGCTGCGGCAAAGAGCGCGCTCCTTTTCTCCATCTCCCCCTTCCTCCCCTTCGCCTGCCGCAGGCCCCCAGCCCCAGAGCCAGGGACCAGTTCTCCACTGCCAGATCCTGGCTACTACCTCCCAGAGTAAGCGGGCCAGAGCTACCCGGCGCCCGGGCAGCGGGGCAGCGGCGGGCTCTGTCCACGGTGCTGGAGCGCGTACCTGATTCACCACGTCCATGTCTGCCAGCAGCAGCATCAGCAATGCAGGGGGCGGGAGGCGCCTGCTAGCAAGGGCGGCGCGGGGCGCGGCGGGGGCGGCGCGCGCTCGTTGGAACAGCCCAGGCGGCTGCAGCCCCGCCCCTCGCGCCCCCTCCTCGCCCGCCGCGCGCCTGCGCACAGCGGGTTATACCACGGTCTTCATCGGCAGCCATTCCGGCCCGGAGGCTGGAGCCGCGAGAGCATGCCGCGAACATGCCCTGGGAAAACACAGCTCGAGGGCTCGGGAGAAGAGACCTCCCCACTGGGTCCTACAACAACTTTGCCATGCCCTTTTCTGAATTTGTAAACGTGTTCGCTCATTTAGTGCTTACAGAAGTCCTATGTCGTAGGGACTATGAGGCCATTTTTACAGATGAGGAAAATGAGTCCCCAGAGAGGTTAAGTGACTCGCACAAGGTCAGCCAGCTAATAGCTGGCAGTGCCCATAGTCCCTGCAGTTTCAACGCGGTTAAGGTCTTCCAAGTTCCTTTTTCTTTTCTTTTTTAAGATGGGGTTTCGGGCCGGGCGCGGTGGCTCAAGCCTGTAATCCCAGCACGTTGGGAGGCCGAGACGGGTGGATCACGAGGTCGAGAGATCGAGACCAGCCTGGTCAACATGGTGAAACCCCGTCTCTACTAAAATTACAAAAAAAATTAGCTGGGCACAGTGGTGCGTGCCTGTAATCCCAGCTACTCAGGAGGCTGAGGCAGGAGAATTGCCTGAACCCAGGAGGCGGAGGTTGCTGTGAGCCGAGATCGTGTCATTGCACTCCAGCCTGGGTAACAAGAGCGAAACTCCGTCTCAAAAAAAAAAAAAAAAAAAAAAAAAAAAGATGGGGTTTCACCATGATGGCCAGGCTGGTCTTGAACTCCTGACCTTAGGTGATCCACCCACCTCGGCCTCCCAAAGTGCTAGGATTACAGGCGTGAGCCACCGGGCCCGGCCCATTTTTCATAGTCTGCATTTTAAGTACATCCTAAAACCCTCTCCTTCCCCTCTCTAACCATTTCCCTTATTTCTCTCTTCCTCTTTGTTGAATTAATGCCTACTCTAACTCTGTCACTTTACCTGCTATTTATTCCTTACCTCTCTCTTAATTGGAATAACCCTCCTTCATGCAACTGAAACTAGGCCCATTAAGGTCAACAGTGATGGCCGTGATACAAAATCCAAAATACAGTTGGGGCTTAAGATACTCAAATTTGGCTGCGGTGCGGTGGCTCACGCCCAGCACTTTGGGAGGCTGAGGGGGGTGGATCACTTGAAGTCAGGAATTTGAGACTAGCCTGGCCAACATGGTAAAACCCCATCTCTACTAAAAATACAAAAATTAGCCGGGTGTGGTGGTGGACACATGTAATCCCAGTTACTCAGGAGGCTGAGGCAGGAGAATCACTTGAACCCAGGAGCGGAGGTTGCAGTGAGCCGAGATTGCACCACTGCACTCCAGCCTGGGCAACAGAGTGAGATTCCATCTCAAAAACAAAACAAACAAACAAAAACTACCGAGATACTGTTTTTCATCTTTGAGGGTAGTATCAAAAAGTTTGATAATGTTCCATATTGGTAGGTTGGCCAGAAACAAGCATTCTCATAAATCGCCTGTGGAAGTTTCATTGGTGTAACCTGTGTAGAAGGTGACTGGGCAAAATACAAAAAAGTAACAAACTCATTTAGTGTTTGATTCAGCTTCGTACTTCTAGGAATTTATCTTACAGATAAACTCATACATGTGCTAAAAGATGTATGTATAAGATGATACACGACTATGCTATTTATTTTTATTTATTTTTGAGACAGAGTCTTGCTCTGTTGCCCAGGCTGGAGTGCAGTGGTGAGATCTCAACTCACTGCAAGCTCTGCCTCCCGGGTTCAAGCAGTTCTTCCTGTCTCAGCCTCCTGAATAGCTGGGATTAAAGGCACCTGCCACCTTGCTCACCTAATTTTTTTTTTTTTTGTATTTTTAGTAGAGACAAGTTTTGCCTTATTGGCTAGGCTTGTCACAAACTCCTGATCTCATGTAATCCACCCACCTTGGCCTCCCAAAGTTCTGGGATTACAGGTGTGAGCCACCGTGCCTGGCCAGGGCTGTTTATAATAGGATAAAGAATGTGTCTGGGCGTGGCGGTTCATGCTTGTAATTCCAGCACTTTGGGAGGCTGAGGCGGGCAGATCACTTGAGGCTGGAAGTTGGAGACCAGTCTGACCAACATGAAGAAACCTCATCTCTACTAAAAATACAAAATTAGCAGAGCATGATGGTACATACCTGTAACCCAGCTCGGGAGGCTGAGGCGGGAGAATCGCTTGAACCTGGGAGGCAGAGGTTGCAGTGAGGTGAGATTTCGCCATTGCACTCCAGCCTTGGCAACAAGAGTGAAACTTCATCTCAAAAAAAAAAAAAAATTGCTGGTAGCCTATTTAAATAAACTCTGATACTATGTCGCTGTTATTATAATAACATGGAGCTATGGAATGATTGCCAAGATATTTAGTTAAGTAAAAAATGCAAGATGCCAAGCTGTGTGGGAATTGTGTACAAAGAGAAGAGAAGGGTTATATCAGACAGAGAATAGCTAACATTTAAATTGTGGCTGTTTTCTGTTAAGTACTGTTTAGAGAACTTTGCCTGTATTACTCACTTAAATTCTCACTGTAGCCCTATGGGACAGGTATGACAACTATCTTCATTTTACAGCTGAATAAACTAAGAGTCAGAGAGGAATTTTCCTAAGCTCACACAGCTGGTAAATGGTAGAACCAGGATATAAACCCAGGAAGTCTGGTTCCAGCACCTGTTACTCTTAGCCACTGTGCTAACTTATCAGCACACCATCTTTTTTTTCAGCACACCATCTTATATGTCTATAAAAGATACCTGATAACACTATTTGCTTCCAGAGGGTAGGGAAACTTTTCACTTTATACCCTTTGTACCTTTTGAGACTCCGTCTCAAAAATCTATATAATAAAAAAAAATGGCCTGGTAGTGTATCATTGTAGGGAGCCAGAGTAGCCCACCCCCTCTAAGGGGATCAGCAGCAAGGCTACTGTGAACTTTGGTTGAACTTCAGAAAAGTGAAACCACAGTAGGAGAATGTGTATGTCTCAAAGAAGAAAAAACAGGCCTAAAAAGAGATAACCAGCTTTCACTAACCTTGCTGCAAGATAGTTTTTAGCTAAAGTATGTTAACTGAAGTATAAAAATAATAACCACAGGCTGTTCTAAGTAACTGCACCCTCCCTCTGCTATGTGCTTTGTAAACATATAAAATTAAGTACACTAAAACAGGTCAAGGCAAAAAAAACTAACATCCTCACCTCTCAAACCACCTGGCCCAGCTTTCTCTATGTCTGTGTCTGTGTCTTTCTTTATCTCCCACCATTCCCTTAGGTCTTTAAATCCTTGTGCAGCACTGAATGCAGCACACATCAGATATCATCTCATACATCTTTTAGCACATGTATGAGTCTATCTGTAAGATAAATTCCTAGAAGTATGAAGTTGAACCAAGCAGTGAATGAATTTATTTTTCTAGATTTTGCCCAATTGCCTTCTACACAGGTTATACCAATGAAACTTCCACAGGCGATTTATGAGAATGCTTGTTTCTGGCCAACCTGCCAATATGGAACATTATCAAACTTTTTGATACTCACCACCCTGAAAGATGAAAAACAGTATCTCAGTAGTTTCTTGTTTTGCTTTGTTTTTGAGATAGTCTCACTCTGTCGCCCAGGCTGGAGTGCAGTGGTGCAATCTCAGTTCACTGCAACCTCCGCCTCCTGGGTTCAAGCAATTCTCCTGCTTCAGCCTCCTGAGTAGCTGGGATTACAGGCACATGCCACCATGTCCAGCTAATTTTTACTTTTTTTGTATTTTTAGTAGAGACGGGGTTTTACCATGTTGGCCAGGCTGGTTGTAAACTCCTGACCCCAAGTGATCCACTGTCTACAGTGCCTCCCAAGTGCTAGGATTACAGGTGTGAGCCACTGCACTCAGCCTACTTTTGAATTTTGAAACTTCTGATTAAATATATGTTTCTTTTTTTTTTTTTTTTTTTTAGACGGAGTTTTGCTGTTGTTACCCAGACTGGAGTGCAATGGCTCGGCTCACCGCAACCTCCGCCTCCTGGGTTCAAGCAATTCTCCTGCCTCAGCCTCCTGAGTAGCTGGGACTACAGGCGCGCATCACCACGCCCAGCTAATTTTTGCATTTTTAGTAGAGACGGGGTTTCACCTTGTTGACCAGGATGGTCTCGATCTCTTGACCTCGTGATCCACCCGCCTCAGCCTCCCAAAGTGCTGGGATTACAGGTATGAGTCACCGCACCCAGCTCTTTCTTTCTTTTTTGAGACAGGGTCTCCCTGTGTTGCCCAGGCTGGAGTGCAGTGTCATGAGTATGGCTCACTGCAGCCTCCACCTCCTGGGCTCGAGTGATCCTCCTACCTCAGACGTCTGTGTATCTGACCATAGGTTTGAGCCACCATGCCCAGCTAATTATTTTTTCTTATAGAGATGAGGTCTCACTTTGTTGCTCAGGCTGGTCTTGAACTCCTGGGCTCAAGTGATCATCTCACCTCAGCCTCCCAAAGTGCTAGAATTATGGGCATCAGTGACCATGCCCAGCCCAATACCTGTTCTTTTAAACATGAAAATTCATACAAATATGTAATGGATACTTCCCAGTTGTTACCTTATTGGGGGAAGCAGTAGACAGAAGGGGTTAAAAACATGGATCTTGGCATCAAAGTGCTTAAATTTGAATCCCACCTCTGATATTTCTTCTTGTTTGACCTTGGACAAGTAAGATGGTTTAAATGGTATCCATAAGGTTGTTGCACTGATTCAACGAGATAATCACTGTGATGCACTTAGCACAGGGCCCAATAAATGGTTCGTTTTACCTCCCACACATCTCTGGAATCCACTCACTTCTCACCAGCTCCTCTGCCACCTCCCCTGGCTAAGGCAACCATCGTTCCTGCCAATTTTAGCATCTCCAGTCTCTTCCCCCTCCCTTCTGTTTTCAGCATAGCCGTCAGAGCATCTATTTAAAATGCAATGTTAACTATGTCACTACCCTACTCAAATCCTTCCCATGGCTCCCCATTGCTTATAGGAAAAATCCCAGAGTTTGGGGCCTGGCATTTAAGGCTCCGCCTGATCTGGCCTCAGTGGCTTCTCCCACTTCATCCATCAACAGTCTCCCTTCACTCTCTATGCCCT